ATCCTCATTTTCCTCATAGAAATGAATGGTAAATAATGTATTGTGTCATTTTGGAGTCACTTTTATTATAAATAAGAATTGAATATGTTTCTAATCACTTGATTACACTTGAACACCATGATTACGGATAATGCTGAATGAATTGTGAATAATGATGAGTGAGAAAGTTACAGACGCACAAATAGCATACCCCCCCCAAATGCTGACCTCCCATATTATTGTATGATATTTGTTGTGTGTCTGTAACTTTCTCACTCATCATTATCCACGATTCATTTCAGGATCATCCGTAATCATGGAAGCATCCACATTCATGTATTAGTGTTTAGAAACATATTCTACTCTTATTTACAATAAAAGTGACTCCAATTTACCAATCATTTCTATTGGGCACAAAATAATATGAAACACAACCAAAACAACCAGCAAATGCATGCAACAAATGTGTAGTGTCACAAGCTTGATGTAGTCATTGAGTGCTATGAATATGGGACCAAATCGTTTTTTACTACTTGAACACACATGTAAGTGAATTTGTCCCAATACATCTGGTCACCTACAAATGGTGGGACTATGTACAAAAAGCGCTGTAATGTCTAAACGGTTCACCCGATATGGATGAAAATACCCTCAAATTAAAGCTGACAGTCTGCACTTTGACCTGTTTTTTCGTCACTGGTTATTTGGACAAATCACGATTTTGCAGGTGTAAGCATCTTTTGAATTTCGGAACGGGACATTCGACCCGTAACTTGCAGAGAGAGGGTGGAGCTCCTTGTTCTGGTTCCACTCCTCTTTCTAGCATCTCTTCATCTCTTCTCTTAACATGTATGGACCCAGAACTTACTCAAGCAGCTGACGTGAGATTTTAGTTCCGGGTTAACCGAGATAAGGATCATTATGAGATGATAGTAAGACATTATACAGGGGTCATACATGCTCATAACAGGTCTTACAATGCATTATAACTGCATCATAATGCATTGTTCCTTCAGGCTTTAAGTAGCGTTACCTAATGGTTCAATGAAAAAGAACAGCCTACTTTCCTTCGAATTTTTTACTACGGGACATTCTGATGGAAAATCACGGAAACCTAACTGATCTTAAATCGTGTGATTCTAGGACTTTCCTGTTAATGTGAATAATTGCCTAAACCACAATACCCCCCAAAATATTCCTATATATTTCTGGGGCCATATTCATAAAGCATTGCAGAATAGGACTGCTGATCTAGAATCAGTTTATCCTTTTAGATCATAATGAATGAGACTTCATGGACAAGAGGGACCTGATCCTACTCAGCACTTCTACTATGAGGCACTTTATGAATACGGCCCTGATATAATGAGGTGTACTCTAATTTTGGCACTCCTTTGAGTTCACAGAGTGCTCCATATTGTGTGACGTAGCCTATAGGACTGGGGCACCCCCAGCTGTCTCTCTCATTGTGATGAATTTGTGCTGCTTTCCCCTCAAAACCGCCCAGCTCACGTGACTCTTTGTCCCGTCTACGTCGGCCTCGCAGGAGAGGAGCGGTGGCTGGGCCCGGCTGCCAAAGGGGAACAGCTGTTGAATGAGGACCAGTGGTACGCTTCCCATAGAGCTGCTGCACCTTGCAAGTCACTCTATCAAGATGGACGAGAACATTTGCTGAGTGGACGTGTTTCCTACTCAGCGGACGACCGCTTACTTCATAAAGGACTTTTCTCCCCCTATTGGTTTTCCCAAATCTTCTCTCTGGGTGGGTGGCTGCTTCACCCTCTCTGGCTTTGACAAATGAGAATGTCCAGTGTCGGATCAGGAGGGCCATCCGTCTTCTAGTATCATGAAAATCTACATGACACTACAGAAGTCTTCCCGTCAAAGCCTAGTGCCACATTTGGCATTTGCCACAGAAAGAGATAGTGGAATTTGTTGGACATCCTGAGATTTCGGTTTGCAGATGTCTTCAATCTTTTTGGTAACACTAGCGTAGGGATCACATATTGAGCACACATTTGCTGTGTTTTATTACATGGGGATTTAAGCAGTAAGGCACGAGGGGGTGTGGTATATGACCAATATACCACGGCTAAAGCCAATCAGCATTCAGGGCTCGAACTACCCAGTTTATAAACAAGATTATGAACTGGGTGGTTCGAGCCCTGAATGCTGATTGGCTGACAGCCGTGGTATATCAGACCGTATACCACAGGTATGACAAAACATGTATTTTTACTGCTCTAATTACGTTGGTAACCAGTTTATAATAGCAATAAGGCACCTCAGGGGTTTGTGGTATATGGCCAATTCCGCATTGCGTCGTGCATAAGAACAACACTTAGCCGTGGTATATTGGCCATATACCACACCTCCTCGGGTCTTATTGCTTAATTTTAAATGGTTACGAAAACCCAATGAAGATATAAGCTAATATGTGTTCCTATACTATTTTTTTTATACCATTGTTAAATGTGTTTTACAGTGCATTCGGAAAATATTCAGACCCCTTGACTTTTTCCACATTTTATTACGTTACAGCCTTATTCGAAAATTGATTACATTGTTTTTTTTCCCCTCATCAATCTACACACAATCCCCCATGACAAAGCAAAAACAAGTTTAGAAATGTATTTAAAAAAAAATTTAAACAGCAATATTACATTTACATAAGTACTCAGACCCTTTGCTCAGTACTTTGTTGAAGCACCTTTGGCAGCGATTACAGCCTTGAGTCTTCTTGGGTATGACACTACAAGCTTGGCACACCTGTATTTGGGGAGTTTCTCAAATCTTCTCAAGCTCTGTCAGGTTGGATGGGGAGAGTCGCTGCACAGCTATTTTCAGGTCTCTCCAGAGATGTTCGATCGGTTTCAAGTCCGGGCTCTGGCCGGGCCACTCAAGGACATTCAGAAACTTGTCCCGAAGCCACTTCTGCGTTGTCTTTGCTGTGTGCTTAGGGTCGTTGTCCTGTTGGAAGGTGAACCTTCGACCCAGTCCGAGGTCCTGAGCAGGTTTTCATCAAGGATCTCTCTGTACTTGGCTCCGTTCATCTTTCCCTCAATCCTGACTCGCCTCCCAGTCCCTGCTGCTGAAAAAAATCCCCACAGCATGCTGCCACCACCATGCTTCACCGTAGGAATGGTGCCAGGTTTCCTCCATACGTGACGCTTGGCATTCAGGCCGAAGAGTTCAATCTTGGTTTCATCTGACCACAGAATCTTGTTTCTCATGGTTTGAGTCTTTAGGTGCCTTTTGGCAAACTCCAAGCGGGCTGTCATGTGCCTTTCACTGAGGAGTGGCTTCCATCTAGCCACTCTACAATAAAGACCTGATTGGTGGAGTGCTGCAGAGATGGTTGTCCTTCTGGAAGGTTCTCCCATCTCCACAGAGGAACTCTGGAGCTCTGTGAAAGTGACCATCTGGTTATTGGTCACCTCCCTGACCAAGGCCCTTCTCCCCGTATTGCTCTGTTTGGCCGGGCGGCCAGCTCTAGGAAGAGTCTTCCATTTAAGAATAATGGAGGCCACTGTGTTCTTGGGGACCTTCAAAGCTCAGAATTGTTTTGGTACCCTTCCCCAGATCTGTGCCTCGACACAATCCTGTCTCGGCCCTCCACAGACAATTCCTTCGACCTCATGGCTTGGTTTTTCCTCTGACGTGCACTGTCAACTGTGGGACCTTATATAGACAGGTGTGTACCTTTCCAAATCATGTCCAATCAATTGAATTTACCACAGGTGGACTCCAATCAAGTTGTAGACACATCAAGGATTATCAATGGAAACAGGATGCACCTGAGCATAGTTTTGAGTCTCATAGCAAAGGGTCTGAGTACTTGTGTAAATAAGGTATCTCTGTTTTAATTTTTTTTATACATTTGCAAAACTTTGTAAAAACCTGTTTTTGCGATGTCATTATGGGGTATTGTGTGTAGATTGATGAGGATTTTTTTTTCTTAATCCATTTTAGAATAAGGCTGTAACATAACAAAATGTGGAAAAAGGGAAGGGGTCTGAATCCTTTCCGAATGCACTGTATATAATTTGATAGTGAAAAACAGAACCCTCAAGAGCAGAGAGACCCTATAATTTGGTAGTATACACCTTCATTCTCTCTATATAACATTTCAATTTCGTTAGCAGTTAAGATTTTTTTATATGCTGATGCAAATTCCATATAAGACCTTCTACGTCTCCATAAGATTAGGGTAAATATATTGAATTAACTATACTTTTTAAATCAGAATGGATACCTCTTTGGCATCTTAACATTGTTTCTGCACGACAAAAATGCACTTTCTAAGGCATTTGATAACACATATATACGCTATAGATATTTCAAATACACTTATTTTCAATTCAGTTCAAACATGCAGTTATCATTCCACGGTGCGACGGAATGCCGCCCATACCAAAATGGATTGAGAATCACAAGGAGACAAACACATGCAAAAGTAATGAGGTTTAATTCAAATAAAACCATGCACAGGTCACCATCACCCAGACTACAGATTCACACCCGTTATAAAATAAAACATCTAAAGCCATACATTGCATTCAGTGGGCCCACTGTATGAGATAACCTCAACGAACATACACAGGTCAGCCCTAAAGATGAAACAAAAAACAAACTCACCATTCTCCACCTAGTAATGTGAACCTGAAAAAGGTGCCAAGCACATAAGATGAGTATTTGAAACCAAATCTACTTTAACCCCTCCCCTCAAATGTACTTCCTCCCCATTCAATTATCACAAAATGTAACAAACCACATGGCAGAGGCCAGAGGTTTAAAATAGGAGAGGGTGATGAACCGAGAGTGCCCAGTTGATACACACACCGTTGAATGCCTAATCCCATGTACCATACACGCGCCAAGGCTCAGAAATTCACATAAATCGGGATTGAGAAACTGGTTACTCAGTTTGAGACCAACGCTAGCCTGAAAAACGGCAATAAACGTTTTAATTCCCTCCCTTGCCGTTTCACCAAGGGTGGATCAAAAAAAGGGGGGGGGGGGGGGGGGGGGAAGCATTGTTTCTTTATTAGCTTTCAGAAACAGACCCTGGCAAGACTATGCTGTGTATTCTTAAACCACTACTCAGACCTGACTAGTCCAACTGGGCAAGCAGAATCAGATTAAAACTAGTCTTGTAGCGAAATTAAGAGCAGAACAGTGACAACTTTACTGTCCACATTTCAGTGGGGGCACAGATCAACTTTTATTTTGCAGCGCAGCAAATCATCTTGATTTCCACCCCTGCTACACCTACAGTACAGAGTAAAATTCCACCACCCTTGGGTTGAAGAATCCAGCACACACATAAGATAGGTACACTCAATAAGATCATTTATGTTATTTTACAATCTGGATGTAGATCACAAATTAAAATTATAAAAAAAAAAAAAAAACTATTAGTAAGATGTACAGTAATTTGTATCGTAATGTCTGGTCTGCACAGTTGTGAGCATTAGGGGTCGGGGTAGAGGATGGGGAGGTGGAGTCCACCTGTGCAACCCTCTCCCTGTCCAACGAGAGAGAGAGGAAGTGGGCATGGCTTAGAACAGAAGGTGGGAGGGGCCTGGCAAAAGAGAACAGAGTACTCAAGAGTCCGAAAAATAAGGGGTTCGTTACGCCGTGTGAGTGTGTGTGGGGGTTCGTGCGAGTGTGCATGTGTGAGGAAGCATTGAATCAGTGTGCGTGTATGTATTGTATGTGTAGATATACTTCTGTGTGCGTGTTGGATGGAGAGACAGTGAGGCAGAGCAGGGATAGCAGGGCTTGTCAGGGCCATGAGGCTCAGTTGCTGAAGACCTGGCCTTCGGGTGGCTGGGGGAGCTTCATGTTCTCTTTACACATCATGAGCCTCCGGAGTTCCTGCAGCACCACACGGATGCTGTACGAGTTCTGCCACTTCGCCAGTGCCGCCACCGCCCGCGTGTCCACCTGAGGAGGGGAGGTTACAGTCATGTGAGAGACTCGCGCATACACACGCACACTTGGAAAAGACATGGCCTCTGTCGAAGAAAATTGGGTTTCAAACCTTGGCTCCTTTTAAAAAATGTGCACATTGGGTGACTTCAGCTCAGACAAGGACAAAAGTGCCCTCACAAACAAACAAAAGCAGATTCCTGGACTAAAACCATGTTCAGTAGTTTCAAGTGCTTTTTAGTCCAGGACTAGGCTTCATCTAGGTCTGGAAAACCAGTCCTGAGTCTGTAGGTAATGAAATCAGCTGTGCGTTGGAGAATTTCAGGCCACACACACTCCAAAATACAAAGGTGCTTGATCCAACCCGTACAACAGGACATGAATGACCTGAGACTTACCACACCGTTTGAGTTGTGCACGCCATTCAGATTGATCTTGGTCACAAATCGGACAAAAGGGGGAGACTCAGGATATCTGGGTCCACATTCTACCTTTAGACTGTACATCCTGTTCTCGTAGATTGTCTGGAAGGAAGAAATCAGAAAGAAGGCAAGATTTAAGTCCTGAAATAGGTTTTGGCTCAAGATAAAGCATGCATGGTAGTGGGTAGCTGTCTTGGTTATCATCATGAGCAGTGAGCCATGACAGTAAGTAAGCTTATTGTAGGCCTATGATTGGGCGGCTGAATACCAGTTTAGTATTGGCCTACTAAATGTATGTGGTTAATTAAAAGAGCCCACAAACCGGGGGCACATGGGGGACAGAACGCGTGTGGTTCTGTGAGTCATGGACGTTTCAACCTTTGTTTGCAAATCGCCTGTGGCTGTCCCAATAGAATTATAATTGTTCTATTCCAATTATATTGCTGTCCTGCTTGTGGTGTATTCCTCCCAACGATATATAATATATAAAAATCATTGGTTCCTCCACTGGGAGAAAAGTGATTTATGCTATGTTTATCCGCTGTGTTCATGCTCACGAGCGACATCAACAAAAACACATTGTACTTCATAAGTTGACTATTACCCGAGCAAAATCATGGTTTTGGTTAAGCGAGGGCAACACTACTTTAGGTCTCAGGGCGGGTGACGTCACAGCAAGATGGCCGCTATTAGCGCAAACAGCTAACTAACTAGCTAGGGAATTCACACCGGTAAATGGTTTAGAGCTGGCCTGCGGTGTGCATGGTTTAGCTGAAGCAGTGTTCTTGGCTACGATTGAGCAGCAGCTCATCCTCTAAAATCAAAAATGCTCCATACGTTTTCATTCCTCAATTGGGTTTAAAATAGATCTGATTCCATATTGATCGTCAACTGTGAATGTGAAAAGGGACTGTGGCTGTCAGAAAGTGGCATTAGCTGTCAAATCCTTGTTTTCTCATAATTTGGAGAAGGAGAAACCAGGTCCGACCCTCCAGCGCACTTTGAGAAGAATTAAGGAAACCAGGATGGAGGAAGCAAGGATTTCTGTGGCGTGATGGTGTTTGGTCGCTCACCCTAGGAGGCTGGCTCTATGGCGTTTGTGTGCGTGTGTGGCGCGTTGGGTGTGTTTGCTTTCCATTACCCTGGGAGGACCTATAATCATGCCTGTCCAGCGAGTCAGCATTATGTCCTCATCATCCTCCAGTCCCCAGCTCACCGTCCCGTCTCCAACACCCTTCTGGCCCTCTTCCAGCTCCTCCAGTAGCCGGAAGTTACGGGGAACTTTGATGCCTTTTTAAAACATACAAAGTTCAAAGCAGACATTTCTCAACCACACATATCTAGTAGTTACTACAATGTAAACTGAAAACTACACACAGACCAGGGCGCCATGTTTACTTAATGGGTTCTATTGAATTGTTCATTAAAAATGCAATGTGTGGAGCAAGGTTGAACATACTGGTCATTGTAATACGGTTTTATACAGGAAAACATCAAAGGTAAAACCTGGATAATGCTTGGGAGGTTGAAGTCACTTGGGATCTATAATGTGTTGAGCAGTACTGCAGTACTTTTGTTCCATTCCTTTCATCAAATGTTAGGCAAACATGTAGCTAGGCCTAATTCTATGCATTTCGATAGTGATTCATTTAACACAACCCTCCTCAGCTAATTAAATACAATATGTAGGAGCCAAGTAAGTACCTACCCCATATTGTTCACCTATTCATGTACCTCTTAACCTGACACATGCAATTGCCTTAGCCATCACTTTCTCAAGTTGTGGGTGTGTACCCGATGGCCAAAGTGAGCGTGCTAGTTGACGAAATAGCTAGGTATCTAGCTACCTAGTTAACAGCAATGTAAAACTACTCGTATCTAGAATAGCTAGCTAGCTAGTTCTCATCGCTGAAAATTGAATTTAACTAACCGCTAATAAACAGTTGGAGAAATACATTGACAGATGCCAGCTATAGTTAGCCATTTCAGTTATTTGAAACATGTACGCTAGTTCCGCCAAGCTCGCTTTGTAAATTGTCTCCGTTCAGCTGCCACTAGGTACCAGCTAGCGTCGTTAGCTCCGCAGTAACATGACGCTGCAGTTGAATAGGCTAGCTAGCTAGCTAGTAAGTTAGATAAATACACAGACGATGGCTAAACAAACACACTAAATCCACAAAGACAATCTTTTATATACAAATTATGGCAGAATCAAGTAATATTTTAAATGCACCAAGTGAGTTGGTCGAGAGCTACAAAATATCCGGAAAAGAGCCAACTGCGCTAACGTTAGCTAGATAGTAGCTAGCAATACTGGCTGAGCTAACTCACACATATCTACTAAACATGCTGTCTGGGGAACTGTGGTGTGTCTGAGATTAATGGTTCATAATGGAATGTAATATACAAGCACCTCAAATGAAATATCACATACGTGTGAACGGGGAAATAGTTTACCTGATCCGGCGGAGGCCGCCATCTTTGTCGCTGAATAGCGAGGGCGTCAGTGCAAATCGACTGGTCTGTTTGAGCAGTTTTTAGAGTCGAAGGTCAAAATAAGCAAGATTTTCGAGAAGGGTGCAATTGCGGCCCGCAATTCGGGGCGTTCCTGCATGTGGGCATTCCTGCATCAGCAGGAACCCCTCTTTATACTTCTATTGGTCCAATTTTAATTTAGGACAGGCGTGAGGCAGGGGCGCTCCAGTACAGTAGGTGGCGTTAATGCACAATAACGTTAGATACTGCTGATAAACCACTGAAGAAGGGATTGGGGTGACAGTGGTAGCTAGCTAGCCGTACACCTGTAGACAGTGTCCTTCGCCCCCCATTTTTTCCTCTGTTTTGTTAAGGACACCGTCTACCGGTGTCGCTCCCGCTAGCTAGCAAGGAGGACTCCGGTAGGCAGGGGCGGAAAAAACTCAGATTATATTTTTATTTCCCTTTTGACCCACATTCAAAAGTGTCACACAAGCATGAAGATGTCGAGGTCGGGGGGAACCAATGGGATGCCCACATGCAGGAACGCCCGGAATTGCAATCTTCAGTTGCACACTATAGACCGGCACAGTGGACACGTCTTAATACCCATAAAACCTAGTGGTAAATCCCAGTAATGGTTCCAATGGTTTTTTCCCCCATTCATTTTTGCGTCTGGAATTTTAGAACTACTCCATATAAGGTCTGTGTTTCATGTAGGCGTGATGTTTTGATAGCATGTAATTCTCTCTCGGACGGGGTTAGTTTTTTCAAAATATTCTCCTCAATTTACTCTCAAGAATTTGAAATGCTAATTATAATAACATGAATAACAACAGAGAAAACCTCAGCAAGACTACGAATTCCTCCAGGAATCTCCTGCACATCATTTCTAGCCCACACTGTCAGCTACCGTTAACCAGCACGATCAGAGATCTTCTGTGCCCAATCCATGAATTTGCGTACCCTTTCTCTGTCTTAGTTAGCCACTGACGACACTTTAGCTAGCTAGTTAGCAGAGCAGTAGATCAAAAAAATTATTGTGTTTTACTTAGCCTAGATAATTGTTTGTACAGTATGTTGACTTTAGGTGTCAAGTTCAGACCTTATGGCATGTTTCAAGGATGAGCATAAGAACATTAAAAGGGGAGAAGACCACTATACAGTGCATTTGGAAAGAATTCAGACTCCTTGACTTTTCCCACATTTTGTTAAGTTATAGCCTTATTCTAAAATGGATTAAATATTCATTTTTTCTCATCAATCTACACCCAATACCCAATAATGACAAAGCTTAAAGAGGCACAAGTATATCACATTTACTAAGTATTCAGACCCCTTACTCCATAATTTGTTGAAGCACCTTTGGCAGCGATTACAGCCTCGAGTCTTCTTGGGCATGACGAAACAAGCTTGGCACACCTGTATTAGGGGAGTTTCTCCCATTCTTCTCTGCAGATCCTCTCAAGCTCTGTCAGGTTGGATGGGGAGCGTTGCTGCACAGCTATTTTCAGGTCTCTCCAGAGATGTTAGATCTGGTTAAAGTCCGGGCTCTGGCTGGGCCACTCAAGGACATTCAGAAACTTGTCCCGAAGCCACTTCTGCGTTCTCTTGGTTGTGTGCTTAGGGTCATTGTCCTGTTGGAAGGTGAACCTTCGACCCAGTCCGAGGTCTTGAGCGCTCTGGAGCAGGTTTTCATCAAGGATCTCTCTGTACCTTGCTCCATTTATTTGACCCTCGATCCTGACTAGTCTTCCAGTCCCTGCCGCTGAAAAACATCCCCACAGCATGATGCTGACACCACCATGCTTCACTGTAGGGATGGTGCCAGGTTTCCTCCAGATGTGACGCTTGGCATTCAGGCCGAAGAGTTCAATCTTGGTTTCATCAGACCAGATAATCTTGTTTCTCATGGTCTGAGAGTCCATTAGGTACCTTTTGACAAACTCCAAGCAGCCTGTCATGTGCCTTTTACTGAGGAGTGGCTTCCGTCTGACCATAAAGGTCTGATTGGTGGAGAGCTGCAGAGATGGTTGTCCTTCTGGAAGGTTCTACAATCTCCACAAAGGAACTCTGGAGCTCTATCAGAGTGACCATCGGGTTCTTGGTCACCTCCTGACTAAGGCCCTTCTCCACCGATTGCTCAGTTTGGCCAAACGGCCAGCTCTAGGAAGAGTCTTGGTGGTTCCAAACTTCTTCCATTTAAGAATGATGGAGGCCACTGTGTTCTTGGGGACCTTCATAATTTTTTTTTACATTTTAGTAATTTTAAGACGCTCTTATCCAGAGCGACTTACAGTTAGTGAGTGCATACATAACTTTTTATTTTTCATACTGGCCCCCAGTGGGAATCGAACCCACAACCCTGGCATTGCAAATGCCATGCTCTACCAACTGAGCTACATCCCTGCCGGCCATTCCCTCCCGTACCCTGGACGACGCTGGGCCAATTGTGCGCCACCCCATGGGTCTCCCGGTCGCGGCCGGCTACGACAATGCTGCATAAATTTTTTGGTACCGTTCCCCAGATCTGTGCCTCGACACAATCATGTCTCGGAGATCTACGGACAATTCCTTCGACCTCATGCCTTGGTTTTTGCTCTGACATGCACTGTCAACTGAATACTTATGTACAGTGAGGGAAAAAGGTATTTGATCCCCTGCTGATTTTGTACGTTTGCCTACTGACAAAGACATGATCAGTCTATAATTTTAATGGTAGGTTTATTTGAACAGTGAGAGACAGAATAACAACAAAATGTTATAAATTGATTTGCATTTTAATGAGGGAAAAAAGTATTTGACCCCTCTGAAAAACATGATTTAGTGCTTGGTGGCAAAACCCTTGTTGGCAATCACAGAGGTCATACGTTTCTTGTAGTTGGCCACCAGGTTTGCACACATCTCAGGAGGGATTTTGTCCCACTCCTCTTTGCAGATCTTCTCCAAGTCATTAAGGTTTCGAGGCTGACGTTTGGCAACTCAAACCTTCAGCTCCCTCCACAGATTTTCTATGGGATTAAGGTCTGGAGACTGGCTAGGCCACTCCAGGACCTTAATGTGCTTCTTCTTGAGCCACTCCTTTGTTGCCTTGGCCGTGTGTTTTGGGTCATTGTCATGCTGGAATACCCATCCACGACCCATTTTCAATGCCCTGGCTGAGGGAAGGAGGTTCTCACCCAAGATTTGACAGTACATGGCCCCGTCCATCGTCCCTTTGATGCGGTGAAGTTGTCCTGTCCCCTTAGCAGAAAAACACCCCCAAAGCATAATGTTTCCACCTCCATGTTTGACGGTGGGGATGGTGTTCTTGGGGTCATAGGCAGCATTCCTCCTCCTCCAAACACGCCGAGTTGAGTTGATGCCAAAGAGCTTGAATTTGGTCTCATCTGACCACAACACTTTCACCCAGTTCTCCTCTGAATCATTCAGATTTTCATTGGCAAACTTCAGACGGCCCTGTATATGTGCTTTCTTGAGCAGGGGGACTTTGTGGGCGCTGCAGGATTTCAGTCCTTCACGGCGTAGTGTGTTACCAATTGTTTTCTTGGTAACTATGGTCCCAGCTGTCTTGAGATCATTGACAAGATTCTTCCATGTAGTTCTGGGCTGATTCCTCACCGTTCTCATGATCATTACAACTCCAAAAGGTGAGATCTTGCATGGAGCCCCAGGCAGAGGGAGATCGACAGTTCTTTTGTGTTTCTTCCATTTGTGAATAATCGCACCAACTGTTGTCACCTTCTCACCAAGCTGCTTGGCGATGGTCTTATAGCCCATTCCAGCCTTGTGTAGGTCTACAATCTTGTCCCTGACATCCTTGGAGAGCTCTTTGGTCTTGGCCATTACATTTACGTTACATTTACGTCATTTAGCAGACGCTCTTATCCAGAGCGACTTACAAATTGGTGCATTCACTTTATAGCCAGTGGGATAACCACTTTATCCTATCCCAGGTATTCCTTAAAGAGGTGGGGTTTCCAATGTCTCCGGAAGGTGGTGAGTGACTCCGCTGTCCTGGCGTCGTGAGGGAGCTTGTTCCACCATTGGGGTGCCAGAGCAGCGAACAGTTTTGAATGGGCTGAGCGGGAACTGTGCTTCCGCAGAGGTAGGGGAGCCAGCAGGCCAGAGGTGGATGAACGCAATGCCCTCGTTTGGGTGTAGGGACTGATCAGAGCCTGAAGGTACGGAGGTGCCGTTCCCCTCACAGCTCCGTAGGCAAGCACCATGGTCTTGTAGCAGATGCGAGCTTCAACTGGAAGCCAGTGGAGTGTGCGGAGGAGCGGGGTGACGTGAGAGAACTTGGGAAGGGCTGCGTCATTCTGGATGAGTTGTAGGGGTTTAATGGCACAGGCAGGGAGCCCAGCCAACAGCGAGTTGCAGTAATCCAGACGGGAGATGACAAGTGCCTGGATTAGGACCTGTGCCGCTTCCTGTGTAAGGCAGGGTCGTACTCTCCAAATGTTGTAGAGCATGAACCTACAGGATCGGGTCAACGCCTTGATGTTAGCAGAGAACGACAGGGTGTTGTCCAGGGTCACGCCAAGGCTCTTCGCACTCTGGGAGGAGGACACAACGGTGATAGCGAGATCATGGAACGGGCAGTCCTTCCCCGGGAGAAAGAGCAGCTCCGTCTTGCCAAGGTTCAGCTTGAGGTGGTAATCCGTCATCCATACTGATATGTCTGCCAGACATGCGATTCGCCACCTGGTTATCAGAAGGGGGAAAGGAGAAGATTAGTTGTGTGTCGTCTGCGTGGCAATGATAGGAGAGGGAATGTGAGGATATGACAGAGCCAAGTGACTTGGTGTATAGCGAATAGCGAGAATAGGAGAGGGCCTAGAACTGAGCCCTGGGGGACACCAGTGGTGAGAGCACGTGGTTCGGAGACAGCTTCTCGCCACGCCACTTGGTAGTAGCGACCGGTCAGGTAGGACGCAATCCAAGAGTGAGCCGCGCCGGAGATGCCCAGCTCAGAGAGGGTGGAGAGGAGGATCTGATGGTTCACAGTATCAAAGGCAGCAGACAGGTCTAGAAGGACAAGAGCAGAGGAGAGAGAGTTAGCTTTAGCAGTGCGGAGAGCCTCCGTGACACAGAGAAGAGCAGTCTCAGTTGAATGACCAGTCTTGAAACCTGACTGGTTTGGATCAAGAAGGTAATTCAGAGAGAATTAGCAAGAGA